AGCACCCAGATGAAACCCACAAAAGCAAGTACGAACATACAAACTTCAAGCAGACAGGACCCCAGTGCTGTAAGGCAGCAGTGCTGACCATCAGCCACCATGCCAGATTGGCTAATAAGTATTCTTATATGGCATAGAGCAAAATAAAAGGTGCTTTAACCGTATTGCAAAGGAATATTCAGATTTCCATATTGGCTGATGAACTTGTGTCTGGCAAATTAATATTTAAAGTAATAAGTGCTTTTATTCCACTCTATGCCTCTATGACATTTAAAGCAAATGTTGTAAATCTCTGGGCCAAGTCCGTGTTAAAAACTGCTGACATTAGAGTGATCCTCTCTGCAGATACGGATGCTGTCACAAATCACATACTCGACAGATGTAGAAGAAAATGAATGTCCAGGTTCTGGCATCTACAGTGTTAAGAAAAGTTATGTCTGTCTTGAGTGTGGTGTGCGGGCCCCTCGGCCAATGAACAAGGCAGGCAATGTGTTGTCTTGTTCCATTTTTGAAAAAATTTAAGTAAATAAAAATCGGTCTTCTACTAAAATTAATCTTCTATGTTGTCAAAAAAGATGCCACTTAATATCAGAATGTGACACACAGTATTTGGGTGGTTAAATGTCAGGGATCAGAAGTTGTGAAAACAGTCAAACTTTCCTGTCAGTATTCTGGTGCAACATCTAGCATTTATTAGAGAAACAGTGAAACATCTAGGTGTGTTGATTAGAGAAAGAATATCCAAATCTCTTTTGAATGTTACTTAATACGTCATGTTGAAATATAATTGCAATCTATTATTTAGAGCCAGCAGGTTTTAAATGTCTAATGATTATGAAAACTGTGAAAAAAAATATAAAACACACAATAAACAGATGTTGGAAAATAACAGACACATTCCAATGCCATAGACTCCCAGGAACATTAACAACTGTCATAAATGTGTGTCTTCAACCTTGGAAAATGAACATTTTTACAGATGGATTTATTGCTTACTTGTTGTCCTTTGACAACAGTCCTAATTAAGCATCAAAACCACCTCATTATTTTATGGTGTGTTTAAAACAGCAAACTACCATTTAAAACAGAACAGCCATTTTCTCAGCCTAAAAAAGTATCATCATTTTGTTTTGTACCAATAGAGTTAGGCTCCACCTATCTGACCCTATTACATCATCTCAACAAAAAACAAAGCAGAGATATTTCCGGCCTACATTTTCTTCCCCGAAACAATAAAACTTAAGGATTCCCATGGCGACATGACAATGGACCGCTAATTCTCTCACAAAGGCTGCTAATCATAAACCCTTTGCTGCCGCTGGGTAGAATGTAGCCAGTGCATGAACTCACAGAAGACGCAGGATCTTTGTAGTGAGAATTCTCCACAGGCACACATGAAAACAGCACAAAGTCAACCAGATCAGCTCCATCCGAGCTAATCCAGACCACACCACTAGTATATGTTACAGCCATGGAGCCCATGGGGATGATGTACTGTACATGTGGGCTCTGAAAATACAGCAGCGCTTTGCAAGGATTTGAACAGAAGAGGCATCCTTGGGTATGAGTTGCAGCAATACATTGGTCTACCTAAAGAACCTCTGATTCCACAAAGCCTTGACCCAGCACCTTGCCAAGGAAGTGTAGTGTTGAGTGTACAATGCAGAATGTGCAGTATAGAGTGTACAGTGCAGAATGCATAGCGCACAGTGTAAAGTGGAGAGTGCAGAGTGTACAGCCCACCCCCCTTGGCCAGGGATAAACAATGGGCTCTCCAGACTGAGAAACACAGAACTACAGGTCAAGGAAAGCCTGTAGCCACAGGCACAGACCGGAGGCAGGGTTGCTGTGGCTCTGGACTTGTAACTTGAGGGTCTGGGGATTCAAATCCTCGGGTGGGGATTCTGCAGGTGTCACCTGTGAGCCAGGTACTTCACTCAGAGTGCTGCAGTAAAAATGCCCAGCCGGGTACAAGCACTAGCAGATAAACACTTAATGCCAGTCAGGGTGAGCAGCTCAGCAATCCGGGAGAGCCTCAGGGCAGAGTCGCTGCTCCTCCAGATCGAGAGGAGCCAGCTGAGGTGGT